TTTTTTCGAAGAAGCTACTTATTTCTTTCTCTATTCTTTTCTTTTTTTTCTTTTTTTTTTTTCTTTTTCTTTACGTTCATTTCCGTAGCTCAAAGAGTCGTCAAAATTGATTTGTACAGCGCCTCCGCTTCCTCGCAACTCTCGTTCTCTTTGAAATTCAACGACGCTGAATTAAAAGACGGGAACTTGCCGAGAAAAAAAAGGATTTCGCGAGCGACGAAGCACGGGACGGGGGGGACGGGACGTGGAGAAATAAAAATTTCAGTTGGATTTTTCTTGTGTTTACAGCACATATTTTCCACGAATTTTGACTAATAATCTCGTTAAACGGAACGTCCGAACGCGCGTTCGTAAAAAAAAAAAAAAAAAAAAAAAATAAGTCGTCCCAAAGTTTTGCAATGATGTAACAAGTGGCTTTGCCGCGCGCTTAATTCTCCTCTTAATTAAAAACGGCTTAATTCCCTTTGGAAAACGTGCAAAAAGATCTACCGCTACTTTCCGTTTCTGTTTCGTATTACTTGTTGGGAGGAAAATTAATTTATGGACGGAAGTCTTTGCGCGATCATTTTCGCGGAATAATTTTTCGTTCGCGTTTCAAGAGAACGGCGAAAAGTGCGCATCGTACTGCGGTGGCTTTCAGAGAGCTTTTATCGCTTTAGCGCTTATCGTTTCTGTGATCCTGGAATCCTTTAAACTCTCCTCCTCCTCCTTCTCTTACCACCACTTATTTCCACCGCGAAACGCAAAAAAAAAAAAAAAANAAAAAAAAAAAAAGGGGGAAAAGAAAGAAGGCGAACAAAAGCGGGGGATCAAACGATACTCGAGAGTCGGACGTCTCGTTCCGCTTTATCGTCCCGACTTTATCGTTGATGAAGCAATACGAGAAAAGTGGCCGTGGCGTTACGAAGGAGGATATCACAAGAGGATATCCTTCGAGGATTCTTCCCAATTATCGATTCGTCGCATCGAGACGTACGAGATGAATCGATTATCGGTTGATTTGATCGGCGAGAAATGGAAATCGATCCGATTATATTCCATCTCCGCTTGCCGCCGATCGATATCGGCCGATCTATATAACTACGATCTCTATCTATACCCCTGCCCCTCCCACCCTCCCTCCCAAGAAGAATATATTTCAATTTCTCTTGTCGTCGACGACGTCCCTTTTTTTCTGGGCTAATTCTTTGTGGTTTTGGTTTTGTGGTGTCTTTGGTACCCGACTACGAACTGCAACTGCGACAACTACCATCTACCACCACCAACTACAACTCAACAACTACTACAACTCAACAGCGTGAGGCCACCTGCACACAATCCGTACTATGTCACAAGCCACGCGGCTGCCGCACAGGCCGCGGCAGCGGCCGCTGCGATTCCAACTGCCGCGGCAACGGGTCCGTTCGTAGATGTAGTCGGCCATCAAGCCCAGTCGACGATTGCCGTTCCAGTAATGCCACCAGGAGCCGGCCGTAGCTTACACTATCACACACACGCAGCCACACACGCATTGCCACAACAGCCACCGCTTACCTATCCCAATTGGGTCCCGTTCACTCACTTTGGTTGATAATCGAGCGATTAATATATATATATATATATATATATATATATATATTACATCGTTTATCGTTTATTCTGCGTGGCGAGACATAGTGTTTCACTAATTCGTTTGCTTCAACTTTAGTTTAACGCGGGAGGAAAATGCCTAGCGAGTCGAAACGACGCGTGCGATCCGTGCAAAATTATTCCCTTCAATTTTTTCGAATCGAATTCCACGAATCGTTGTTGGCCGTGCCGTTGGAAACGAGTCTCGCGGGGGACGGCACGGGGACGAGAGGGACATCCTTCGCTAGGACCGCCTATCCCCGCTTCGAACGCTTTGTTGACAATCTTGAGGACGCTACGCAAGCAGTAGGCAATTCGTAATAAAAATTATATTTTCAGAAAGCTAGAGAGTTAAGTTAAGGATTTCCAATCATGCAAGACTGAGATATTGATTCGAAACTGATTGATTATATTTTATTACGTAATTATTAATATGTACAATTATCGTTTTTATAATTGCTCGACGAATACGAAATTCGACGTTTGTGTTAAATTAAACTATTGTTACGAATCATAATTAGTCCACGCATATTGATGAGAAATAAAAAAAAAAATTTTATATCGCATCGAATATACGTTATTCGAATACTTCGAATTCTATGCCTACATCGTTAATGCATCGAGGTTTTTAAATTTGAATAGATCGTCGTTTTGGATCAGATATATGTGTTAAAAAATACAATGCTAAGAACAAAAATATGTGTGAAAATAGGCGAGAATTCCTCCCAGATTACCGACCAATCAGACTCGCGAGATTCTTTCCGCGAGACTTCTTTCTTTTCGTCATATTAGTGAACGGTACATCGATATCGATAGATGGATCTCGACGAAAGCTCGTTGAAAAACCCCTCCCCCCTCCTCCCCTTTACGACGTTCGATCTTTTCCTCGTCGTTGTATTTTCGTCCAAGGTCAGAGTTACGCGATCGTTGTTTTTTTCTTTCTTTCTTTTTTTTTTTTTTTTTTCTTGTCCAAAGCAAAGCAAAGAAGTCCTCTCTCCTTTGCTCGTCGATGCTCGCCAAAGAAAAACGCTCGCGCGATTCTGGCTTCTGACGATCGGAATCATTTTTAGATGGAACATTTTTCCCTACCCTCTCCCCCCTTCCCTCCTCCGTCGAATAATCGCGGTAGATGATTTTTACGCGCGTCTCTCTAGAGAGTCGTGCAATCGTTAAACGATGCTTAGGTTTAGTCGATTAATTAATTCCGTTAAAAAACGTATTTACATACGATATAAAACGATCCGTTTACATACGATATAAAACGAGTAGCGAATTTAATCATTATATTCATTAGGGAAAAGAATTTTCACGGTTTCTAATTAGATACATAGCATATAATATATATATATATATATATATATATATAATATATATATATATTATACTTATTTATAAGAGGGAGAAAAAGAAAATGTTTTT